TTGGTCTATGGTGATATTTAAGATAATCATCAGTCTGACTACAGGGTAAGGTCAGTTCCAGACACCCTCTCCTCTATTGCTTAGAGTCTTAGCTGGGGTCATCCCTGTGGGTTCTTGGGCATTTTTCTAGAGCCAGGTTTCTTGCTAACTCCATAATGGCTCCCTCAATCAAGATATCTCTTTCCTAAACCAAGTGTTGGTGGTGCACACCTTTAATAGCAGCACTTGGGAAGCAAAGGCAGACATATATCTGTCAGTTCATGGACAGCCTGGTCTACAAGAGCTAATTCCAAGACAGGTTTCAAAGATGCAGCAAAACCCTATCTTGAAAAAAAATAATGAAATAATAAAAATTAAAATAATGTCAAATTTAATATAGAGTTTATGGAGGAAAGTATGTACACAAAATATAATTTCAGATTATTTAAATACAAAGCCCTGAAATATTTCATAGAAAGATGTGTGATATTTTTGTTCCACTTAAATAACAAAACTTTTCGTGAGATGTGTTCTCCTTAATCTTTATAAGGAATAAGAAAAAAAGAAAAATTGTTTGAAGTTGTAGTAATCATCTAAACACATTAACAGAGAAACTGATGTCTGTGTAATAATTGTGTAAAAATTATCAGTATACATTTCTGTCAGAAAGTACTGACCTGTCTTACTGTGCTTTTATTTGTTTGTATTGATTTTTGTGTTTGTTTTTCTGTAGAGATATCGTTATATGGAAAGAGAGATAAAATGTTTATATCGCTGATGTTCTTAAAACGTCTCAGTCATTCAAAAACCCTATGTAGTCTATTACTCTGAAATATCCTGTAGAGTTAAATTCTGTTTATCTTAATCCATTATGTCAGAAAATATCATTTTTATTCATTTAGACCCTTTAAATGTGGAACCCTCAGAACTCAGCTCATGGCATAGTCCTCTCCGGGGTTTTCCAAAAGCCTGGAACTACTTACATCATTATAATTGATTGTATGAATACTTTCACTGAGAAATAAAAGTATTAGTTTTGGAAAAAATAAAAAAATAAAAAATAAAAAAAGATCTCTCTTTCCTTGCTCTCATATCTGTTCTTTCTCCATCTCCACTATCCCATTCCCTCAAGTTCTCCTCACCCCCCTTCTCCCCTTCCTTCTACCCCATGTTCTCCAGCTCATAAATTTTTGTCCGATTCCAATTTCCAGGTGGATCTATTATGTTTTTCTTTGGGTTTGCCTTATTATTTGGCTTCTATAGGCTTGTGAACCATAAGCTCAATGTCCTTTCTTTATGGCTAGAATCCACTACTGAGTGACTAGATACCATATTCATATTTGTGGGTCTGGGTTATCTCACTCAGGATAGTGTTTTCTACTTCCATCCATTTGCATACAAATTTCAAGATGTCATTGTTTTTTACCACTGAGTAGTACTCTAATGTGTAGATGTGCCACACTTTCTTTATCCATTCTTCCATTGAGGGGCATCTAGGTTATTTCCAGGTTCTGGCTATTACAAATAATGCTGCTATGAACATAGTTGAACAAATGCTTTTGTAGTATGATTGAACATCTCTTGGGTATATTCCCAAGAGTGGTACTGCTAGATCCTGAGGTAGGTTGATTCCCAATTTTCTGAGAAACCGCCACACTGATTTCCAAAGTGGTTGCACAAGTTTGAATTCCCACCAACAATGGATGAGTGTTCCCCTTGCTCCACAAACTCTCCAGCATAAGCTATCATTGGTGTTTTTGATCTTAGCCATTCTAACAGGTGTAAGATAGTATCTCAAGGTTGTTTTGATTTGCATTTCCCTGATAGCTAAGGAAGAAGAACATGTCCTTAAGTATCTTTTGGCCATTTGAAATTCTTCTGATAATAATTCTCTGTTTAGAGACCCACATTGGAGCACCGGACTGAAATCTCAAGGTCCAAATCAGGAGCAGAAGGAGAGAGAGCACGAGCAAGGAACTCAGGACCGCGAGGGGTGCACCCACACACTGAGACAATGGGGATGTTCTATCGGGAACTCACCAAGGCCAGCTGGCCTGGGTCTGAAAAAGCCTGGGATAAAACCGGTCTCGCTGAACATAGCGGACAATGAGGACTACTGAGAACTCAAGAACAATGGCAATGGGTTTTTGATCCTACTGCACGTATTGGCTTTGTGGGAGCCTAGGCAGTTTGGATGCTCACCTTACTAGACCTGGATGGAGGTGGGTGGTCCTTGGACTTCCCACAGGGCAGGGAACCCTGATTGCTCTTTGGGCTGACGAGGGAGGGGGACTTGATTAGGGAAGGGGGAGGGAAAGGGGAGGCGGTGGTGGGGAAGAGACAGAAGTCTTTAATAAATTAATTAATTAAAAAATTAATGTTAAAAAAATAATAATAATTCTCTGTTTAGTTCAGTGCATCACTTTTTAACTGGGTTAATTAGCATTTTAATGTCTAGTTTCTTGAGTTCTTTATATATTTTGGAGCTCAGACCTTTGTCTGATGTGGGGTTGGTGAAGAATTTTTCCCATTCAGTAGGCTGCCTTTTTGTCTTATTGGCTGTGTCCTTTGCTTTACAGAAGCTTCTCAGTTTCAGGAGGTTCCGTTTATTTATTTATTGACGCTCTTATTGTCTGCGTGGTTATATTTAGGAAGTGGTCTCCTGTGCCCATGCATTGAAGGTTACTTCCCACTTTTTCCTCAGGTTCAGTGTGGTCAGATTTATATTGAGGTCTTTAATCCATTTGGACTTGAGTTTTGTGCATGGTGACAAATATGGATCCATTTTCATTCTTCTACAAGATGACATCCAGTTATACCAGCACCATTTGTTAAAGATGCTTTCTTTTTTCCATTGTATCTTTTTTGCTTCTTTGTCAAACATCAGGTGTTTATAGCTGTGTGAATTAATATCCAGGTCTTCAATTCGATTCCATTGGTAAACATCTCTGTTTTTATGCCGATACAAAGCAGACTCTTTCATAAAACAGGAGCCTTGAAGGACTGTCTCAATCTCTTTAATAAACTTTAGCAGTCATTTTTCTGTGGGTCCTGCATGTCCAGTTTATACGGATACCATCAAGCAGTCCAAGCAAGAGCAGTTTCTTGTCCAAATGGCTAACAAACTCCATAATAAGCCTCTTCGATGTCTGTCGTCCTCTTGAAGTAGATTGCTGCTGCCAGGAGCAGATGTGTCTAATTATCATGAAAAGTCCTAAGTTCTTAAAACATTTTAAATGCCATATTTTGTACATTCTTGAAGGATTTGAGGAATACCTACCTATCTTCAATATATCTGCAACATATCAAATATATATATTTGAAGAATACCTATCTATCTGCAATATAGCTCTGTACATCTAGAAAACCTAACATGGCTACAAGCTTGACTATTATAGATGACTATCTATTGACCTGTATTTTTTAATTATACATTATATTTTTAAATTACCTGTACAAACACAATACCTTAATCAAGAGCAGAAATATACATATAACAAAATTAACCTTAAATCTATATCAGTATACCAAGATCCATACCAGTGCAAAGTATTCATCTCTATAGCATATCCCCCTTTAAATGAAAACATACATGAACAATATTTGGGAGTTTAGGAGTAGTTCTCTCCAAACCGCTTCCTACTTTTTGTTGGGTAAAGTAATTTTGGGGTTTGTGGAGACCTTTCAGGGGCTTTTGGTCCATCAAACCACATTAATCTGAAAGGAATCCACAGGTTCTCATCCTAGGACTTTTCATGACAATGAGACACATTTACTCCTGGCAGCAGCAATCTACTTCAAAAGTATGACAGGCATCAAAGAGGCTTGTTATGAAGTTTGTTAGCTATTTTGGCAAGATACTGCTCTTGCCTGGACTGCTTGATGTTATGCTGTATGAATGGACATGCAGAACCCATAGAGAAATGACTGCTGAACTGGCCTAAAGGTGAGATGATCCTTCGGGGTTCCTGCTTTATGAAAGAGTCTGCCAGACATTCTGCAGGACACAGAAGAAAGAAACTGATGAACTTTGCCATTACAAGGCAAAACATAACTTCAAATTTCCTGCTTCATGGAAAATATTGAATGCCCCAATAATACAGAAGAACTATGAGTTACTGTCCAGGCAGCGAGATGTCTCTGTCAATTCTAGAGTTTGGGATTTTCTTACAATACAGTTCCTGTTTCCTTAGGCAATATTATATCTGTCTGGAGTCTTTGATGGAGTTGAAGAATAGATAGTTATAATTATAGTTTTCCTTAGTTATGATAAAAGATAAAGTAAATATAAATATTGTAACTGTAAGTCTTGCTTGATAGTTGGTTTTTTTCTATGTAATTTTACTATGTTAAAGTTAAAAATCTTCCTTTTATTTAGACAGAAAAGGGGAGGTAATATGGGATTCCTCTCCGTCTGCTGTAAATACCATTGGTTAATAAAGAAACTTCTTTGGTCTATAGCAAGGCAGAAAAGTGCTAGGTGGGGAAAACTAAACTGAATGCTGGGAGAAAGGAGGCAGAGTCAGGAAGATGTCATGTAGCTGCTGCCAGGAACAAGTGTGCTAGAACCTTGCCAGTAAGCCACAGCCACATGGCAATACACAAATTATTAAAAATAGGTTAAATTAAGATGTAAGAGCTAGCCAATAAGAAGCTAGAGTTAATAGGCCAAGCAGTGATTTAATTAATACAGTTTCTGTGTGATTTTTTTTGGGAGTCTGGGTGGCCAGGAAATGAACAAGTGGCCTCTATAACAAACTTCTGTAAATTAATATTGACCACAAACAATTAAGTGTCCTATGTTGTCACATGCATAGAGAAATAAATATATGGGGTTTCATAGGGCTGGAGGGAATGGGACTAGATTAAGAATGCTTTGGGGATGGAAAATAATGACCACCATATAAAAATATGAATGTGCAAATGTCATTTATTTGCAAACTTCAAAATGGCCAAATGAGAAATCCCATATATGTCTCAGAAAATGTTAACAGGAAAAAGAATCTTGTCAAAAGCCACCGTGTAAATGACAGGGATAGAACAGTCCAGTTCAGTCTTTTGCCATAGTTTTTCACTTCTGTGCAACAAACAAACTGTAGGTCAAAACTATTTAGTAAACAGTTATGTACACAGGGAAGGAGAGCAGTCACTTCTCCTGTCACTGTCCCTCACTTCGCATGGACAACTGGTGCTGAGGCAGCACTGGTATGATGTGAATCAGTTATACATGGAACACATTTGAACATGTAAGAGGATGCATGTATCTCCATACAAATACTACACAATGTTAACAAGAGTCTTGGAACATCCAGAAGTATTAGAGCTCATGAAATTGATTTTCACAGATTATGAAAATTATCTGTATTTGATACAAAACCTAAGCTCTTAATTCCTTTGCAAATCTGATTACTATATTAATGTCTTCATTTAACTTTTAGAAAACAAGTCTCTCTTGATGTCTTGGCCTGTCCTTGGATACACCTTTATCCCAGAATTACAATCATAAGTCAACATGCTGGCTTTACCTGAGTAGTAACTGATCATTTTCACCACGTAACTTTGCTCCTTATTGTACACCATTGATAAAAATGCATCCACTCTGCTGTAAGATAAAAGGAGAGAGGTCACTCATTCATCACGACCAGCCTGACAGGGAGACTGGTCTTCGAACTGACTGGATTGGAGACCTCACACTGATACTCTCCAGCATCCTGCCTCCTGACAGAATCTATTCTGAGTTGGCACTTTGTCGTGGACAGCGTCATCCTCTTTGTGAGCTGCAGACTCCGGTTATTGAAGATCCATCGGGTGGAGATACCAGTGTCAGCTGAGAGGCAGGTGAGAACTACAGAGCTTTGTACTATAGCTTTGGTATTGGTGACTCGGATAAAAGGCTGTGTTACAGGCTCTGTGAAGAAAAAAAATGACAATAGCCCTTCAGATATCTCAATCAGCCCCTCTGTAATCGACAGACACTTAATAAAACTTGCGGGGTGGAGACATGCAGGCTTGACAACAGACAGATTTCTTGTGGTTTGGATCTGTCACCCCTGACCTGTGTGACCCTGATTCAATCTGTGTTTCCTGGGACTCTGTTTCCCTTCACTAGTGCACAAAATGCATGATCATTGTATCTTTGAGTCGTTTAGATATGAGCAATGTCAGAAGCATCAGTTACTATGGAGACAGTTCCCTAGGTTAGATCCCTGAGGAAAAGCAGCTGCCTGAAATAACTTTCTCCTCTGTCCTTCCCCTTGGGGACCCTGACCCTCTTTGAAGTATCCTAAGCACATCAGAAGCATTGACTTACATCCTTGCACCTGTGTGCTGAGATTTATGAGTAGGAGAAGCCCAGATGCCATGCATAACTACAGTTGCAGTGGCAATGCACAGCTGGTTTTACACTCTGTGGGTTTTGGACAGTCAGTAAAGACTTGTTCCCTGTCAGCTCCAGCAGGAAGTAAATTTTAGCACTGGAAACAAGCTCTCAGTGATCACCTGGAGTTGAGCCTGAAACACAGGTCTGGAGTCAGAGCTTCCAGAGTCCCTCACTGTAATAAAACCATGGTTTCCCAGATAGTTCATGCCTGACTCCCATAGTGTCTTGCTCAAGGCCATGTTCATGGTGAGAGCCTCAAGATTCTGAGGCTGACTGACATCCTCTGTAGGTGGAGTCAGGTGAAGGATTCTGGTCTCCATTACAATGTCTACCCGATTGCATCCTGCACTAAGTGTTCAAACCCCAATGTGGAGACAAAATGTCAAGAGGACACAGTCATTCCACAATGGAAAGTCCTGGGTATGCACAGGGAAATCAACCCCACCAGAACCAGAGGTCACAAAGAATGACTTACTGTATATGTGGAGATACACTTGTGTTTCTTGAGTTTCCAACTGTGTACTTAAGGTTCTTAGGGTGTAGAATCCAGTGTCCTTCTGGGTGACATTGTGGAGCAGCAGAGAACCATTGGGGTAAGCAACCTCTCTACCACTGTGTGCAGGCCCCGGCAAGCTTCTGTTAGTGGCTATAACATTCTGTGCAATTCCGTGTCTGTTGACAGTGGTTGCCCCTCTGTACCAGACAAATGATCGGAGATTCTCTGGGATATTATGAGCAACTAGGAGAATGTTTTTCCCTTCAATAGCGTTTGGTGGCATTGACTGGATAGTGAGCTGGGCAGTGGTGGGAGGAAGCCTGCAGTCTAAAAAGGGGAAGTACAAGGGAAGAGAGACAAATCAATACTGAGACCTTTATCTTTGATGAAAAGAAGGGGCCTGGTTACTGAGAAGCTCAGTAATCACTCAGCTGAGGTGGATGAAAGTGTTTGTCAAACTCAGAGTGGGGAAGTAAGTAAATGACCTCCATGACCTCTGTGCACCTGAATGCATCACTTCCTATGTGGAGAACTGTCTCCACACATGTTTACACACTCACTGTTCTCACATGCCTGTTCACACTCAGAAAACATGGAGGTAGGATGCCTTCCCTGACCTCATACTCTACGGGTTCCCAGTCTTCACCTTCTGACCCCTTACATCTCTCCCTTCTCTGGATGCAGTCAACCCCTGACTTCACTTAAAGATAGGCCTCCTGGTCTGTCTTCCAGTCCACTAGAACTGGGCCATTTTAGGAAAAACTAATGTGATCCTTCTAGAAGGCCGGATGCTTGGTCAGGCTCAGATACATGTGGGCAGATGGAAGATCAAATGTCCATGGATTTGCATGTCCAGGTGTTTATGAAATGCTCATGTGTGGAGCTACTGACACCAGATACAACTCCAGCTTACATGAACTTGTGCATGTGTGGGGAGTCGGTGTGTGGGTGTGAACGGGTATGAGTGTGGGTGTTTGTGCAGGAGCAGGTGGATGCCACCCTGTGTGTTGGGATGGACACAGATAACAGCACCTACATGGAAGTAAGGGGACAAATTGAGGGAGCCTTTCCCGTCTTTCCCCCTTAGGAGATTCCAGTCAGTCTCTGAGCTCCCCTCCCCCACATACTATCAGACTGTATTCTCCTCACCTGTGAGCAGCAGCCACTACCAGGGGCTGCACCCTTTGCAGAGAAATACACAGTGCACCTTCATGGAGGTTGCTTCCTGCTCTGCCTTCCCTCTGTGACGGACACCTTTGGTTCCAGCACTGCCCTCGATCCCTACAGCCTTCCTTCCTCTGAGCTCAGCCTTCTAACAGGCAGGCACATATCTCAGGTTAATGCTGACATGCTGGCTGTGGTCAGGATGATTTCCAAGACCATGCTCTGTCCCTTAAACACTTAGTCCTGCCTGGTGTCACAGTCAGATTCTCTATATACTTTTCGTTCCTCTATAACATGCAGTGAGCAACAAGGCTGAAAGTCATCTCTGTGCCCTAGGACAAAAGCTTACTCCAGGACTTGTCTCTGCTCTGTTCTCCCAATGTGTCCTTTATGACACAGAATCCTAGCTGAGCACCTAGTCTCCCCTGTGTTCTCAATGCTCTGAAAAGTTGGCATTTACTCCCTACAAGAAGGTGACAGTGATGTCTTTGAGGGCTATAAAGGAACCATCTAAGTGATGCCTTGAAGAGCGGACAGACCCATTCTCAGTGGAGTCACTAGTCAAGATACATTGTCATAAAACCCAGGAGGAGATTCATGAGGATGTGAAACAGGAGGTGACCTGAGTCCTGGAGAGAGAGCAGAGGCTCCATCATCCTAGGAAGGATTTCAGGGGGACCCTCCATCTTCCTGTGATGGTTGAGCTGTGCCTTGGATCTCTCAATGTCTGTGTGGGGATGTAGCTGACATCTATCTAGGTCAAGTCCTCATGGGATGTGCCAGGAGGTAGAGGGTAATAACATAGGCTCTTCTGGCAGAGAATCATGCTTAGAAACACAGGAAGCAACCAGTAGGTCTAAGAAAGCTGTCGGTGACCTCCACATCCATAGGGACATGGTTGGAATGTAGGCTACAATTAAGCTCATGGCTCCTGGAAATACTTTTTGAGGTATTTATTGATTGTGTGTTCTTCTCTAGCCACCTAATGATTACTAGAGAAAATAGTACTACTTTCCTGCAGGAGAGCATTCAAGGGCTGGAGTACAGAGGACAATCACTTGCAAAAAAAAAAAATCTGTCCTTTGTTACTCCCCTTGGGGACCCTCACCTTCCTGTGAGGTCTCATAAGTCCATCATCCATCAAGACAGTTATTTAATGACTGGGCACCTGACAAGTTAGTCTCTCCTTGTGTTGTCTCTGAGGAAGATATCTAGGTGACCTAAGCTAACCTTAGCTCTCATGACAGTGCACTAGTTGGTTGCAAATACCAGTAGAGCCTTCTTCCCTGTCAGCTCTAACAGGAAGTCAAAAAAAGCTCCCCCAGTGTTATCTAGAGTCTAGCCACAGGTAGAGATTTTCAGTCAGGGCTTCCTGGTGCTTTCTGTGAGGATCCCATGACTTCCTTAGCCAGGGCCTGCCTGACTCCCACAGAGTCTTTCTGGGGACATGTGCATACTGAGAGCTCCAAGTGTCTGAGCTAAGGCTGACTCCCTAAGGCTGAATTTACCCAGCACAGGACCTCCTCTCTGCAGATAAAGACAGGTGAGGGGTTCTGCTGAATTAAAATTTATCTACCCCATGCATGTCCTGCAGTAAAAGTCCAAACACAATGCAGTGGGGGAGAGAGGAGGCACAGCCCAATCCTGACAGTTCAGTGTATGAAGTAGGATAAGCCACAGCCAACAGCTGGGAGCCAAAGAGAATTACTTACTGTACACATGGAATTGTATATGTGTGTTTTCAGTTTTGAAATCTCTGTTTAAAGTTTGTAGTGTGTAGAATCCTGCATCTTTCTCCGTGACATCCTGTAGTAGAAGGGATCCATTGATGTACACTATTTCTCTTCTGCTGTAGGCAGGCCCCCAGGTGATGGAATTCATGGCTCCTCTGTATTCTGCAATTTTAAAACTCTGGGTGCTGTAAAGTGATTTGTACCAGGAAAAGGTTCGCAGATCTTTTGGCAGATTATGAACAAGGAGAAGAATGCTTTCCCCTTTAACAGGATTCTGTGGCACTGGCTCTATCATGAGTTGGACAGAAGTGGAAAGGTTGCAGCACGTAGAAAGGGATGCTGAAAGACAAAAGGGAAACAGTCAGCACAAAGATCATTGTGCTTGATGGAAAGGTAGCAACCTTCATCCTAAAAAGGTAGATTCATCATTCAGCCAAAAGATGCATGGGTGGCTATGTCTAATCTTCCTGGTGGATGTCAACATTACCTGCATTCCACTAGTGCCCCTAATATGTCACTTCTTCTGCATGGACCTCTCTCCTGGAGTCTCTCCATAGCTGACCCTCCCTTCCCTCAGTCAAGCACTGCTCACACTCATGCACACTGAGTTTGAGATTATGCCTTCTCTGAACTTTTCCTCCACAAACCGCACAACTTCAATCTACATATTTTCCCTAAATTTCCTTTGTGGTTTCAATCCCTGACTTCACCTTCTAGATGCCCTTACTGCTCTTCCCCGAAGTCCACAAGTCTAGGACTGGGTGAAGGCCAGGAGACGTTGGATATTCTTGCAAAGCTTATGTATAAAAAAATACTTAGATACTAAGATGACTGATTTTATGTTAATGTCACACAAGGTACAGGTGGTTTGAAAGGGGAGGACTCAATTGAAAATGCCACCACCATATTGATCTGTGGGCAAGTCTATAGTACAATGTTTTAAAATGGTGACAGATGTAGGAGGGTCCACCCCCTAAAAGCAGTTCTACTCTTGTCCTAAGTACTACAGAGTGCTATACGAGACCAGGCTGAGCAAACAATGAAGAACAAACTAATAGGAATCACTCTTCCACTGTCTCTGCAACAGCCGCTAGTTTTATTTATGAAACTCATGTTAGGAGAAAATAATTACCTCAGTCTGACATGGACAGCCAAAAACCATTGCTCCCATTCAGCTCTGAGAGGCATAAATAGTCTAGCCCTGGCGAAATGTTCCTATGATCACTAGTAGTTGAGCCTAGGATAGAGAAATGTGGCCAAGGCTTCCTGGTACTCCCCTCTCTGTTGAGATGCCATGATTTCCTCAAGCAGCAATTGCCTGATGCCTACATGGTCTTTCTTACTGAAATGTGAGTTTAGATCCCCAAGAGACTGGACATAATCTGATGTCTTAGACTGAGTTACTTTGTGTCCAGGGCTTTCTTGATACAGGGGGTGTTAAATGATAAAGTATACTCTATTACTCTTTGTCTTCATCATGTGTGTCTGCCACTATGTTCTCAAACATCAACATAGGGACGCTATGCACAGGAAAGGCAGTGCTGTGTGTTCAAATGCCACATGGCAATGAATAATCACAAGAATCACTTACTGTCCAACCGTAGTTGCACATGGGCTACTCCAGGTTTCAGATCTGTGGTCAGAGTCCGTAGGGTGTAGATTCCAGTGTCATTTCTGGTGAAATTCTGGAGCAGTAGGGATCCATTGCTGTACACCATCTCTCTACCACTGTGTGCAGGACCCAGCACACTTGAATTCTTGCCTATTATGTGTTGGGCAACCTCATGGTTCTTGAACACAGTCACTCCTTTGTACCAGAAAATGGCTCGAAGATTCTCTGGGAGATTGTGAGCCACTAGAAGAACACTTCCCCCTTCAGCAACGCTGGGTGGAACTGATTCAATAGTGAGCTGGGAAGAGGTAAGATGATGCCTACAATGGGAGTCTAGAAGGGAAGAAAGATCATTAATACTAGGACTTTTGTATTTGCCTATATTGGGGCCCTGTATCCTGAACAGGTATGTCCATTGCTCAGCCTAGGTGTGTGAGTGTCTCCCTGTCCTACTGAGTGGAGGTCAGCACATGACCTCCATGCATTCAATGTCCCCATACCTGTCATTTTCTCTGTATGGCATTATCTGCTCAATTGTCAACATGGCCCTGGTTTGCTGCCTTCGAACTCCAGCTCACATTTGGTGTAGATTGGTGTTGGGGGATGATTTCCTGGCTTGTTTCCCTACAGACCTTGACACCTGACTCTCTGACTTTCTGTTATTTATGTTCTTTCCTCTTGTGGCTCCAATCAGCACCTGACTTCACATTCAAGCTTTATTTTATGGCCCATCTTGAAGTCCGCTTGGAATAGGCTTTTGTTAAGACCAAGGTTAATCTCATTTTTTTGAAGGCATGCTACCTAGAAAAGGTTCTGACACCTGTGGAGAACTAATGAATGATTGAACATGAGAACAAACAACCAATATTCCAATTTCCAGCATGTCTAGGGTTTTATTTATGACACTCTCAGCCTCTACCAAATCCTCAAACTGAATGGGCAGTCTTGCCTCTAGGAATCCTCAGCATGAATGCTCTGAGCTTCTGTCTTCTCCCACCTTATATTCCTCTTCTGCCCAGCCATATCACTCTTATCTCCACCTCCCTAGTACTGGGATTAAAAGCAAGTGATCCCAAGTGCTGGGATCCAAGATACGAGTTCTGTTTCTCTCTGAGACTGGATCAATCTAGTGTAGACCAGGGTAAACCTGAACTCACAGAGATCTGTCTGCCTCTGCCTCCCAAATACTAGTATTAAAGATGTGTACCATCACTACCTGGTCTCCTTGGCTAACTAGTGGCTTAGCTCCTCACTCTGATTTTCAGGCAAGCTTCATTTGTTAAATCACAAACAAAATATCACCACATGGATACCCTAGTTTGATTTGATTTTTTACAACTATTTCCATTTTATGTTTGTGTGAATGCATGCAGTTGTGAACACATGTGTATTACTACATATATGTATATATGGCCAGGTTGTGCCATAGTACTTATACATGAAGCAAAGGACAACTCTGAGGAGTAAGAGGGTTCTCTCTTTCCATCACATGGAATGGAAGATTAAACTCAGGTCACTGGGCCTGGCAGAATATGCCTTCACTCATTGAAACACCTCACTGACCCACCCAGGTCCGATTCTTCCCTGTGTCACGCTATTATAGTTGGGAACATCTTTCTTCAGAATATAGTAACCAACACGATCACCACTGAGTAGAGAACAATCTGGCGTTCATCCCTACCCCTTACCATTTCCTGTTCACCGAGAACTTCCTGCTGCTGGCCCTCTTGTCCACCTCTGTGTCATCTCCACTGAGGACAAGAGTCTGAAGGAGAATCTTGTCTTTTCATTGATTCTCCTTCAGACTCTTGTCCTCCTTGGAGACTCCAGCCAGGACCTGAGCTCCCCACTCCCACACACTGCAGTCAATTCTCTCTTCACTTATGAGACTAGCCCTTGTCCATGGTGCCCTTTGGAGGGAGGAGCAGTGGAGCTCCATAGACTCTGGCTCATGTGCCATGCTCCAAGGACATAGAAGAGTTTCAGTTCCAGCACTGCTACTACACTCTGCAGTCCCAGAGTCAGCTCCTCTTCCCAGAGTCAACTCTGCTGTCCCAGACCCATGACGGACTGTGGGTGGATCCTTGTGCAAGGCACTGCTGTCTCCTTTCCTTGGCATTGCTTGGTGTTTCTCTACTCTGATCTCTTTCTTTATGTTTCAGTCCTCCAGACCAAACACAACCTGCCAATTATCATCCCTGTACCCCAAAGTCTAACAGCTCACCCTAAAGCTAACCTCAGCTGTATCTCTGGCTTTGGCTCTGTAGCACCAAAGAGGGGGACTCTCTCCTTTTTTAATTTTTTTATTTATTAAAAATTTCCACATCCTCCCATCCTCCCATTTCTTATACATCCTTTTTGACACAGAAACTCTGCTATGAACCTGGTTGTCCTCAAGTCCTCAGTGTGCTCAGGAGGTGGAATTTGCTCTCATCCAGAAGGTAGCAGATGTCTGTGAGGGCTGGAAAGGGACCATCTGAGTGATGTCAGAGGAAAGACACTCAGTGATTATCACCAGTGTCACTGTTCAAGGTCTGATCCAGGACAGACATCCAGGAGCAGCTGTATCAGGAGATCCAAGTCCTGTATGTGGAGGTCCCCTGTGTCCTGGAGAGGTGTGGTCTCACCCTTCTGTGGAGAGTTTCAAGTAGAAACCTGAATTCCAGCCTCTTTTGTCGACTTAGGTATAGTTCAGGTCTGCCTTGACATTTTAGGGGTGTTTCTATCCTTTGCTTGGTAACTCCTCTGTGGTCACTCTCTCTTTCCCTGTGGAAAATGCTAGAAGGAAGGAGGCTGAACATGCTCCCCTAGCATAGTACTATTCTCAGACAAAGGAAGCACCAGTAGGTCAGAATGGCCTTGTGTGGGGGCTCTCTGTGTCTTTTGGGAAAGAAATGGAAATCACACAAGTTTCTATCATCTTCTCCAGGAAACCAGCATCTCAGGGTTTGACTGTGAGATATTAGCAATAGGATGACTGTAACTCATGCCTAGGAGATGTCAAGATCATCAGATCCTTTTACTATTTGACTTCTTGAAGGAATCCCCTGGGCTGGACCTGTGTCCTCTGTTCTTCATCTTGGGGACCTGATCTTCCTGTGAATTCTCAAAAGCCCATCAGAAGAGTTGGCTGATAACCTAGGCACCTATCCAGCTCTGCCCTCCATGTTGAGCCTCCAAAGGAGGTGCCCAGGTGAGATAGCATGAATGCGGCTCTCAAATCAATGCACTAGTTGGTTTATGAACTATGGACAGCCAAAAACCATTTTTCCCTTTCATCTCCATAAGGAAGTAAGAGTCCAAACCCGGAAAAATACCCCCCAAGGTCACTTGTAATCAAGCGTGAAAGAGAAGTCTGGAACCAGGGCTTTCTGGGGCTCACCTCTCTCTGAGAATCCCAAGATTTGCCTGATGCCAACAGGGTCCTTCTCAGTACCATGTTCTTGGTGAGAACCCAAAGACAAGACTGAGTCTGATGCACTGACTTGCCCTTTCCCATCTCTCTCTCTCTCTCTCTCTCTCTCTCTCTCTCTCTCTCTCTCTCTCTCTCACACACACACACACACACACACACACACATTCCTCTCTGAGAGTGGAGTGAGGGCAAGAGCCAGATCTATAGCTGTTTGTCTCTAGCATGATTGTCCTGCACTAAATCTTCAAACACCAGCATGGAGACACAGTACAGAGTGGAGTTATGCACAAGTCGGGCAAGAGAGTCCTGTGTGTCTAAACTCAACCCACTGAATGATCACAAGAATCACTTACTGTCCAACCATAGTTGCACATGGGCTACTCCAGCTTTCAGATCTGTGGTTAGAGTCCGTAGGGTGTAGAATCCGGTGTCATTCCTGGTGAAATTCTGGAACAGCAGAGATCCATTGCTGTACACCGTCTCTCTACCACTGTGTGCAGGGCCAAACACACTTGAATTCTTGCCTATTATGTGCCGAGCAACCTCGTGGTTCTTGAACACAGTCACTCCTTTGTACCAGAAAAGGGCTCGAAGATTCTCTGGGAGATTGTGAACCACTAGAAGAACACTTTCCCCTTCAGCAACGCTGGGTGGAACTGATTCAATAGTGAGCTGGGAAGAGGTGGGGCGGCCACAGGTCAAAATGGAGGCTAGAAGGGAAGATAGAGATTGTTCAATAGTTGGACTTTTGTATTTGGCTAAGATAAGACCCTGTATCCTAAGCGGGTTGTCCATAACTTATCCTTGGTGTGTGGGTGAGTGTCTTCCTGTCACGTACTGACTTCCATGTTCTCAATATTCCTGCACTTGTCGTTTCTTCTGTATGCACTCTCTGCTCAGGTGTCAACAAGGCCCCGGCTCACTGCCCTCAGACCCCTGCTCACATTCAGTGTAGACTGGTATTGGGAACATGTCTCCCTGACCTCTTTCCCTACAGACCTTGACACCTGACTCTCTGACTTCTGTTGTTTATGTTTTTTCTCTTGTGATTCCAGTGAACACCTGACTTCACCTTCTAGTTTTCTTTACTTCCAGTCCACTAGTACTAGGCAATTGTGAGAGCCTGGATTTGTCTTATATTTTTTAAAGAAATGGTGCCTAGAAAAACTCAAGACACCTTTGGAGAATGACTGAAGTTGCAGGACCCTGTATGCCCATGGATTATTTAAGAAATTTATAAACTTTGGAATATAGAGTTGAATTTTTCCATTTGCTTTTATTTTTATGGCTCATTTATATTTGTGTGTGAGTTTGTGTATAAGAGCATGCCTCAAGGTGTGGGAGTAGGTGCAGTACACAGTACCTAGGTGGAGGTCGGAGGACTTGTGTTCATTAGTCTCAGTTTTACAGACAATGAAGCAAATGCTTATGCCGTCTGAGCCACATCCCTTATTAAAAACAGCTGAATTTTTTTCTTTGGGACACCAAGCTGAAAATATCAGTCTTTAGAATACTGTAGTCATACTGATTAAGTTTGAGTAAGAACAATCCCCCATCCCATTACTTTTTCATATTCATCAAGGATAAGAATAAGTTTCCTGTTGCTGACCCTCTGGACTTTCCTGGGTCTTCACTCATATGAGCTCCAAGACTCTGCTCATGTCCTTGCCCCCCTTAGGAGACTCAAGACAGTCTTTGGAAGTCCTCTCCTCTCACAATGTGAACTTGTGGTCCCCTCACCTGTGAGCAAGAGTCCCTGAGAGTCAGTGACCCCTTGCAGAGGGATACAAGGCTACATCCCTAGTCTCGGTGGCCTCGTCTGTCCTCCCCTTGTGACACATGAGCTCAGCTGTCCTTCCCTCATCTGAGCTGAGCCTCCTTCCTGACAGGAGCATCTCCCAGAGTTCCATGGGCTGTAGGTGTTCTCTTTTTCAAAACACTGCTCTGCCCCTTCCTCTCAGTGCTGCCCCATAACCTTCTCTACTTCTCTCTTTATATTTCAGTCCTCCAGACTACATGGTGATCAAAAGGGCTGATGAGCATCCCTGTGCCTTAATATAACACAGATCACCCTGGGGCTGCCTCTGCTGTGTCCTGGCCCTGAGTATGTCAGAGCTAAGAGGGAGCCTCTGCACTCCCTGTGGAACACAGAAACCCATCTGGGCACCCAGTCTTCCCTGAGTTCTCAATGCTCTGAAAAGATGGAATATCCTCTTAGCAGGAAGGTGCAGGGATGTCTGTGAGGCTTCAAAGGGACTGGTGAGTGATGCATGGGGAAGGGGACAGATCCATTCTCACTGCAGTCATCACTAGGTCTTTCTCGGGGACACATTCCTGCTAAGAACCCCTAGAGTCAAAACAAAGGCTGATACCTTTGGCTGAATTATGCACCACACATCCAACTGTGTGCAAAGTGCGGTCAAATGAAGGATTCTCAGCTATTGCCATTATGCTCCGCCGTGTGTGTCCTGCACTAAATGCTCAAACTCCAACAGGGAGACACATGCAAAGGGGAAATAGACACAGATTGGATTTGACATTTCTGTGTGTGCCCAATGGAATGAGCCCCACCCAGCACCCAGAGTTCACCAAGAATCACTTACTGTACACGTGAAGGTACGTGGTTGTTATTGATGAGACTCCTACTTGTCCATTTATGGTTCGAAAGGTGTAGAATCCTGTGTCCTTCTGGGTGACATTGTGGATCTGAAGGGATCCATTGCTGTACACTGTCTCTCTACCACTGTGTATGGGCCCTGTCACACTTAAACCCTTGGCCACTGAATATAGTGCGATTCCAAGGCTCATATTCCTCACCCCTTTGTGCCAGACAAAGGCTAGAAGATTCTCTGGTAGATTATGAACATGTAGAAGAACGTTTTCTCCTTCAACCACTTGGGGCGGCACTAATTCGATGGTGACTTGGGCAGTGGTGGGCAGGTGCCAACAGGTTAAAAGGAAGGCTAAAAGGGAACAGAGAAAAGCCACCAATATTGAGCAGGGGTGACACTACTCACCGTAGGGATATGTCCAACCTCCTTGATGGAGGTGAGCAACATGACCTCCATTCCCCCAGAGCCTATTATTTGCTCTCTGTGGAATTCTGTACTCAGGTTCAGCTGACCCCACACACACACACACAGTGTCCCCATATCCCTCCTCACAGAGTATATTTGGTGTGAGGAGCAGTGCCTCTCTGACTTCCCTAGAGAGTTCTCACTCTGAGTTTTTTTCTCTGTTCCCTGTGTGCTCCAGTCAGCCCATGACTTTATTTTCTGGATGCTCAGAGATCAGGTTCACTTGAAGCAGGACTTTGTGAGAACAGAGATTAGTGTGACCTCTTTAGGTTTACTTCCTGGAAAATATTCAGGCAGAAGTGGAGAGAGGAAAGAAGGGAGAAGGGAATGGAGAGAAGGAGGAAAGGAGGAAGGGAGAGAGGGAAGGGGGGAAAGGGATAGGAGAAATATGTCTCCATGGGGTTATCTACATAGTTCCCCATGTTAGATCAAATTACAATTGTTATACTCAAGTGTGATTTTTTTATATTTGCTTATGTACTATATGTGTGTCTCTGTGAAGGCATCTGTTTCAGTGTGTGCAAGTGTGGGTGTATGCCACAGCAGCTGCATGGACAAAAGTGTCTCAGTGTGACCATGTGCAGGTGCACACAACACCTGTGTGAAGGGCAGAGAAGAACCTGCAGAGAAGAAGCTACCCTGTGGAAGCTGAGGACTGAATTCAGGTTGTCATGTCTCCACACTGAGCCATCTCATTGGCCCACCCCTGTTTGATTTCTATTTGGAGAATCACACTTCAGAATATTACAGCCAATATAACTGACTTTGAACGGGGAGTGTTTGAGGCTTCTCTCTTCCCCTCATCACCTCCTGTCTTCTGGGAGCTTCAGGCTGCTGAGCCTCTGTCCCTCACTGTACCTTCTGCTCTATAACTGCAAACAGAAACCTCAAATCTCCTGTAGGGTGTCTTTCATCTTTAGGAGACTCCAGGCTGCCTCTGAGTTCCCGTCCCCCACACAGTCAGAGAGTGGGTACACTTACCTGTGAGCAGGAGCCCCTGCCAAGGGGTGCAGCCTTTGCAGGGAATCAGAGAGCACACCTCCATCTCTCTTCTCTCTGTGTTGTCCTCCCTCTGATGAGAAGAGCTTTAGCTCCAATACAGCTGGTCCCCAGACTCTGCTGTCCTTCCTCCTGAGACAAGCTACCTCCCAGGCTGGAGCACTTTCCAGAGTTCAATGGGCTCTGGGTGGTGGGGTCTCTGTCCCTTCCATTCTCAGTGCTGTTCTGCAACCCTCTCAGCTTTTCTCTCCTTACGTTTCACCTCAAAGCAACACACTGGACAACAATGCTGATAAACATCATCATGCCTCAGAGAACAACAGCTCATCCCAGGGCTGACAACTGCTATGACCTGCCTTGGGTATGTCATCACCAAAGAAGGAGCCTCCATCCTGCCTATGCATCCTCGTGACACAGAGGTTCAGCTGAGCACCCAGTCTTCCCTGCGTCCTCAGTGCTCTGGGAAGGTGGCATTTACTCCCAGCAGGAAGGGGACAGTCTCTGAGGGCTGCAAAAGGAGCAGCTGAGTGATGACTAGGAATGAAGATCAATCCTGCATCACTGATGTCAGCAGTGATGACATCACTGATCCAGGAGAGAGGCCCAGGAACCATTGTCTGAGGAGTTTCGTGTCCACAGTGTTGGGACGGAAGTGACCTATGTGTCCTAGAAAGTACTGTGGGTTCTCTTTTTCTATGGAGTGTTTCAAGGCCAACCTTCAGCATTACATGTTGGCTGAGCTGAGTGTTAGATGAGCCTAAGTCCTCCCTGATCTTCCTGGGTCACCTTTGCTCTTTGTCGAAGTGATGCCCTAGTGAAATCATCTATGAGAAATGAAGAGGGAGAAGACCTTCACAACCCCCATACAGAAAGGTGTTCTCAAACACGTAGGTAACAGCAGGCTCTGGGTGGGGAGTTTTGAGTTAGTGGCAACTCAAAATGAGTCTCCTAGGCAAGGTCATAACTCAGGGAAACAATTTTCTGATTGTTGAGGGTGTGTAATGATACTGCCCCCTGGGGATCACTGGAAGAACTGCAACATAATGCTAGGGCTACAGCAGGCAAGGTCAGCAAGTCAAATGTGTCCTGCCTAATACCCTCAGCACAGGGGGGATGTGGGGCATGTCAACCTGCTCACTGCGCGCTCTTCAGGACTCCTAATTCCATCTAGGGTAGGGTAGGCCTAGGCAAGGTTTCAGATCTTTCCTGGGAAGTCCTTGACTAAAGATGAAATAGTGTACACACAGGCTAGGCATCCTCCACAGAAAAATTCAGAGGAAAGTCCTTGGAAATTTCTCTCAATAGTCAAAAGACAGGATGCCAGTGTGGGATGGCATATTTTTCTGCCCCATGACTGATGTCTAAATTCTTCCTTCTCCTTGCCCATCAGGAGCTGAAAGGTCTTTTCTTTAGAAATCCTTCCTTCTCCTTGCCCATCAGGAGCTGAAAGGTCTTTTCTTTAGTAGAAAGAACATTGATTCAAATGGACGTGTTCTCTGCCCTTCCGTGTCATACGCTGTTCTGTTTCTTTCTCACGCTGTGATAAAGCAACAGCAGTTAGAGGAAGGGTCCATTTTCTTTCTTATCTGGGCCATCATGTAGCACTGAAGGAAGTCAGGGCAGAAAACATGCTGCCTGTTCCTCCCTCTCTGGCACATGCTTACCTGGAGAGCCAGAAGATGTCTTTCAGGCAGATGCAGGAGGACTTTAGTGCTCAGAGATGGCGATCTCCTGTGCTGTATGGGAGAAACGTCTTTGCCATGTGTAAACTGAACTGCAGAGCTTGATGGTACAGACCTAGGGCCTGGAGTCAGATGCCCCATTTCTCTCCTGGTCTTCACTGACCCATGGCCTCCAGGAACTGTGGAAAGCTTTGTTTCTCCAGCTGCACTGACCTCCACTGCTCATCCTGAGCCAGTGCCTTCCAAGGCTTTGCTGTTCAAGGATGTCCTACAGATAGGACAGAATAACATTTCCCATAGAACTTCCCTAGTAAGCATCCACAGCCTGTCCTCGGGACTCGATGTCTGCACAGAAATCTTACACATGAGACCAGGAGCAGGCCTTATTTCAGCTAACTACCCAGGCAGGACCACAGCAAGGACCAATATTTCCAAGTGTTTGATGATGACTGACATGAGACACGGGGTCCCCAAAGGCAAAGTATGTGTCTCAGAATGATCTGGAAGGTGTGGGGTACAAGCGAGCTTCAAAGAAAACCATTATTTGTCTTGGCCTATAATGCCCTGTCTCCCACAGGAGAGGACCATACAGTTATATTTCCTTATACAGAGGTGGCTCTTTTCTTCCTTTAAATTTTTATTTAAAATTAATATGTATGTTGTTATTTTGGCTTCATGTATAGCTGTGCACCACGAGTATGCCTGGGGCTCCCATAAGCCAGAACAGGGCATTAGATCCCCAGGAACTAGAACAACAGATGGTTATGAGTTGCTCTGTGTATCCTGGAAACTAAACATGGGTCCTCTACTAGAACATCCAGTGTTCTAACCACTGAACCATCTCTGTAGCCCTCTCAGGTGGAAGTTGTCAGAGGCAGATCTGACTGGTAGAAGGTAGAGAGCAAGAACTTACAGGAACTCTAACTGGAGGGGACAGGTGTATTTGACATATCTGGATTATGGATATGGGACACTGACTTTCTCCATGAGAGCACTGTTAGTAATTCCCAGGATCTAAGGCCAATCTCTGGAAGGATTATTTCTCTAAAGAGCACAAAGAGCTATGTTGACAGACAGATGCTAAAGCTGTTTGAAATTAGTGACTCCCTGAAAATAGAGAGCCCTGTGTTAGATGCAGGACCTATCGGAAGGGAAAAAACAAAGCCCTGTCCTTCACCTTCCAGGAAGAGTGATAGTATCACACCAGAGAGCACATGATTCACTGTCTAGTTCCTGGCCTGCAGAGCCCTGGAATTCTGCAGAAATTCTACAGAGGCAGGTGACTTATTTCTACAGTCAAATCTAACTGTCCACTGGCTTCCACGTCCTGGACAATATGTCCCCTCAAGCTGTGAATGATCAAGATTAACATCTCTGAAAAACAGAGACTAAGAAGTCCTCCAGGTTGGAGACAATGGACACCTGGCTGCAGGCAGATAGCTTGTGATCCATGTCTTCCAAGCATGGATCCTGTGAGCCTCACATGGCCACCGTATTTGCTGTGCCTCATTTTTCCAGTGATACCACACATCAAAAATGAATGTTACTATGCCTATAAGGGATATATGAAGGGACCTGACAGTGGGACAGGACAGCTGTCCAGATCAGCAGCTTCTGTTACTATTTACCTGCAGGAGACAATTTGCTACACTTAATCCCTGAAGACATAGAGTCCTTAGGAGCACCTGCGTCCTCTATTCCTCCCCTTGGGGACCATGACATTCCTGTGAAGTCTCATAAGCCCATCAGAATAATTGGCTAAGAGCCTGAGCACATCTGCAGCTATTCTCTCCATACTGAGACTCAGAAGGACATGCCCAGGTGACCTAGCCTAAATGTGACTCTCATGGCCTGTCCACACTCCCCAGCTTACCTGGAGTCAGGATTCTGGGACAATGTTCTGGAGCTAGAACCTCCTAGTGGTCATCCCCCCAAGCCCGCTCCAGTAAGATTCCATAGTTTCCTTAACCAGAACCTCCCCTGACTCCCAAGGTTGTTATTGGGCCTATATGTACATTGAGACCCACACAATCCACACTTATGTTACACACACACACACACACACACACACACACATCCTGATCTCAGGAGGCTTAAATCACATCAAATATTCTGATACTGCAGTTCGTATACACTGTATGTGTCCTGCACTAAATGCTCAAACCATTCCTGGGTGTTCAAAGTGGACACAACCCCAAATACAACCCAGCAGTCACAAAGATTGATGGACTGTTTCTATGGTGATACATATGTTCTTCAGTTTAAATCCCAGTATTTCAGATTTGTAAGGTGAAAAATCCTGCATACACCTGGATGACATTCCCAAAGCCCAGATCCATTGGTGAACACTGTCGCTCTGCCACTGTGTGCAGGCCACATAATAATTTGGTTGGTGGCTATTACAAACTGTACCAGTTGATAGCTGTTAGCCAAAGTTACCACTCTGTATCAAAGACTTGCATATGCTTTGATAAATTAAGAACAAATAGACATTTTGCCATTCAATTGCATTGTTCAACAGTGATTCCATATTGCAATGAGCTTTATTGGGAGGGAACTAAAAGGTTGAAAGTAAGGCTAGCCACTTTGGAAAACAGTATAACATTTTCTTAGAAAACTGGGAATCAGTCTACCTCAAGACCCAGCTATATCAGTTTTAGGCAAATACCTGAAGGTTATGCATTCATACCACAAGGATGCTGGCACAACTATTTTCATAGTAGTATTATGCATAATAGCCAGAACCCGGAAACAACCTAGATGTCCCTCAACTGAAGAATGGATAGGGAAAACATGGTACATTCACACAATGGAGAATTACTCAGCTTAAAAAGTGATGACCTCCTTATTTAGCTTCTCTAGGATCACAAATTATAGAAGGTGAACCCAAAGAAAAACATATGGTTATCATCCTGGATATTGGAAGTAGACAAGATCGCCAGGCAAAAGTTGGGAGCACGGGGGTGGGGTGGGGTGGGGATAAGTGGAGATGGGGAGAGAGAGAAGGGAGAAGGAGAGGATTGGGGAGACCTTGGGGGAATGGGATGGATGGGATGGAGAAAGGGTGGATATGGGAGCAGGGAAGTAGATATCTTAATTAAGGGAGCCATTTTAGGGCTGGCAAGAGACTTTACTCTAGAGGGGTTCCCAGGTGTCCAAGGCAATGTCCCCCAGCTTGTTCCTTGGGCAGCAAAGGAGAGGGTGCCTAAACTGGTCTTATCCTATGGCCACACTGATGAATATCTTGCATATCACCATAGAACTTTCATCTGGCGATGGATGGAGATAGAGACAGAGACCCACATTGGAGCACTGGACTGAGCTCTCAAGGTCTAAATGAGGAGCAGAAGGAGGGAGAACATGAGCAAGGAAGTCAGGACCACAAAGGGTATGTCCACCCACTGAGACGGTGGGATTGATCTAATGGGAGCTCACCAAGGCCAACTGGACTGGGACTGATGGAGCATGTGATCAGACCAGACTCTCTGAATGTGGCTGACAATGAGGGCGGAC